CAGGAGTTGTCTGGGGGAACTGCATTTGGCCAGGCACCATTCAAACAATGTAACAGCATTTAGACAACTGGGATTTAGCACCCAAGTGTTAAGAAAGGCCTAATTTTCTGCTGTGAGATTAGCACTTAAGATGCTAATCACACACTTGGTGATTTTGCAAATGCAAAATATCACTTTCTATTGGAAAAGAGAGGTTTGGAGCATGTACTCTGGGTTATTTTTAACCAAATTATGCCTTCTACCTGCACAATCCATTGAAATAATGACAGCAGTAGTTTCTGACCCTTCCTGTAAGTGCTTGCTCCCAGCTATTTAGAAAACCTCTCCAGCCCTACAACGTGACACATCATGAAGATCAAATGCTGTTCCCTAGTTTATCTCTTAGAGAATTGTGGAGAGGTTCAGGGCTCTCAATAGAGCAGTCTTAATCAACAGCTGCTTCATTTGTGACTCTTGACTTCTGTCTTTCTATAATGAAGAACACTAAAATATTAATTATCTAGGTGCAAATGTTTGATGGTGATTACATGTAGATATGGTGGTGCCTGCAAATCCTCAGCTGAGGATAACTGAGGAGCTATTCAAAATTTTGTATGTCAGAATCAAAATTGGATTTTGGAAAGACAGAGACAGTATTTTCCACAAGTAATGGTTAAAGGAAGTCAATAGTTTATTTACAAGTCCAGTTTTCAGTAGCAATGATTTCTAAAAAGTTTAAGAAAAATGTGACAAATAGAGTATTTTCTAAGAAATAAACTTGAAAGAGTTTATGCTGCTAAGGTAGTCAGTAGTTTCTTGCTTGACTGGGAAGTTCAACCCATGGGATGTCTAGAATTCCTGTCCATATACTTATTGGGAAAATATTTCAGATTTCTCCTAAATTATGTCAAACAAAAGAAAACTATAAAGTCATTATCAGTACACAGAGTAAGCTATTTTGTACTAACTGGAGTTATTTTTCTTAAGGCTAGGGAATTATGTTTCTTTATTAACATCCTTCACTCTCTGGGCACAGAAGCCCAGGAAAACTCTTGTTCCCACAGCAGGAGTGGGGGCTGATCTTGAGCCATGTCATTGCTTTGCTCCCAGGCTCAGTGGTGACTGGGAGCATCAGTCTGTCACAGGAGACAGATTAGCTGAGGCCAGTTCATCCTGATGAAACAACATCCAGGAGAACAGAGATCACTGGAAAACCAGAGGAGAATGAGCAAGGGTGTGTGACCACCAAGGAAATAAAGACCAGAGGGTAACAAACGGCATAAATGTAAGAAAAGGCTGTGAACTGACCATTTAGCCTAGAAAGAAGGAAAAAAGCTGGAAACTTCTGTAAAGGTGCAGTGTACAGGAAAGCTTTGTAAGAAGGAGTAGAAATGTGTCCAGTGGCAGACACTGCACCAAAGTTCACCCCCAGCTCTGAGGTCAGCTTGCACGGAGGTGGCAGCAGAGGATGCTGCCAGGGGGACAGCAGGGGGACACAGGCACTGCTCCTTGGCCTGGGCTGCAGAAGGGACTGGTGGCCAAGAGGAACGAGTGGTGTAGAGCTATTCTAGCAAGGCAGCAGTGGAGAGATTGGTTTCCAGCACTTGGGCCTGGGAATTCTAAATTAGCTGTTGCAGACACAGCCTCAAAGTCTGTTTTCTTGTGCTCCCTTTGAGTTTTGAGGATGGAGCCTGACAGATCTCTTTTCACAGGGACACTAAACATACAAAACAAAAACATCATAATTCACACACTTTGTCCCAGCTCACAGGGCAGTAATTGAAAAGCAAGAGAAAACAACAGCAACTCTTCATGCTGCAGGAGCTACATCTGTTATTTGACTAATTAGTGACACATAATAACCCATAAGAGCCTTGGCAATACAAAAGCTTCTTTAATTCTGCCCAGTCTCCACAAAAAAACTCCCAATCTCACATTCCATTTTTAACTGCAGAGGTATGTGTAGCATACCTACCCATACAGTGTTGGGAAGCAATGAATCTGTGTAATGATGCTTTTTGAAGAAGAGGGAGAATAAAATTACTGTGTATGGAAAGGCAGACATGTCTTGCATAGTTTTGTTTGCAACCAGAAGGAAGATCAGTCTCTTTGTGCTTCACATGACCCATGACCAGCCCTACATTAATCCAATGGAGTGGGCAGGTACTCAGAGGAGAGCACAGAGTGCAGAGGAGGTGAGAGGGCTCTGTTATCTGGGATATCATAGAACTGGAAAGACTCAGGATCTCTGATCTTTTTGTCTTTGCTTGCTTTGGTTGAACTTTGCTTTTAGGTAAAATGTGTTTACTCAGCACTTTTTGTTTAGACACTTACTGATCTTATCTGGTGCTAAGGAAGAAAACCATGGTCGCAGCAGAAATTGGCAGCTGTGAGTTAATATTTTCTTTTACATGTATCGATTACAATGTCAAAGATTCAAAATCAATTCACTTAAATGTCACTCTAGAAAAAAGGAAGTCTGTCAGTGTAACGGAATATTGCCAAACTAGAGGAAACAAGCCAAGCCTGACTCCCCCATCCCTGAATGCATGGATACATATGGTACAAATAAGACAACCATGTCTTAATATCAACATCAAAAATAAGAATGAAAAATCGGTATGAAATATACCCTATCTCTGCAATATTTATATTGAAGCATATGATGAATTCAGAAATGGTCTGGAATTCTCATTGCAAAACTTTCTGACTGATTTCACAGCTTCCCCAACTCTTTTCTTACATCCTCTTTTCCCTGCTGCAGGTCTATAAGCCTGCTGTCCTGTTATCCCAGCAGCATAAACATTTCATTCCTTCCATGGGATACAGAGTTACCACATCCCTGCAGGGATTTAGTGCAAAATCATCCTCCTCCTCATTGCTCAAGAGAGTGCTAGCCCAATGTTTTCATTTCCTGAAGCTGCAGACTTTTTCTGGCCCCTGCTGTGAAGGGTAGCTCAGAGCCTGCAGGACTGTCCCTGCTTTTTATTCCATTCCTCTCCTTGCAATCTGTAACCAAATAGGTAAATCTATCAAAGTACCAGAACCAGAGCAGGGCAATTTGCTTTTCACTTAAATTACATGAATCAGTATAATTTTGCTTTTAGGCTGTTCACACAATGGATTATTAATGCCTTGCATGTCCAATGGTCTATTTCATTTCATGGAGTCAATAGATGCTCCATATACCTATTGCAGGCATCATCTTTCTGTCTTTAATCATCAGAGATGGTGCTGAGGAAAAGATCAAACCAGCTGCTTAACAAAGAGATTTCAACTGTTTCAAGTCTGGATTATGAGCAAATCAAAGTAATTGCATTTTAGGTACACTTAGGTGTTGAAATTTAACTTTAGGGATTATTTTATTTTGATTTTAACACTGAAATGTTTTACTAAGAAAATGTGGGAATGAAATAGTTAATATCTTTTTCTGTCAGAAAAACTACCTAATATCATCAAGACAAACGTGCCAGCTCTCATTTCCATAACTGGGTGATAAATAGCCTAAAATCTGTTGCCCAACTCCAGTCTGGACAAAGCTTTATATCTTTTTGATAATAGAAAGGAGGTTTTCATTCCCAAAGGGCTTTATATCCTTGGACATTGATGGGTGGTGAGAAGGAAGCAGTTGCTGGGGCTGGGGTGTCTCTCTCAGTCCACCCTCATATCCTTGGTGTATGCAGGACTATAAATGGTGCCAGTGGGACTTGGACCCATTTTGGCTGGACCCCAGTGGATGCTCTGCTGCTCTCCACCACCTCAGCTCCCTTTAGGGTGCTTCTAGCATCCCTGAAGCAGTGTTTGGTGGGCAAAACTCTTATTGCCACCTAATTTGGATTTCAAAGTAATATTTTTTCCTCTGGGGAGAAAGCCACAGAAATAAAGGGTTGAAACAACCCAAATAGATTGTACAAGTCTTCTGGCAGAAGAATCCTTCTTTGGTGCACTTGGTGCTGGCACTAAGAGAGGCTTCCGTAGCTTCCTTGGAGGTGGCTGCAGGAAGACCTCTCCCCATTATCTCTGGGCTCCTCTAACCTTTAAACGTGGCCAAGGGAGCTGTGCTGCCAACACATCCATCCTCCAGGGATTCCCCATCTGATTGAGGCTGGGCCAAGGAGGTGAGTCAGAACTGCAGCAGACAGGCTGCTCTTCTCCTGCCCGCAGCCTGCCAGGAGAGCCTGAATTGATGTGGGGAAGAATTAGGGATGTTTCAGGCTCCCTCACTGCAGGGGAGGTGACAGCTATGGAAACAGGCTGTTTTTAGCAGCAGGACAGAGAATCCTGACTCAAAATTCTTTTTCTGGGGAAGCAGGCAAGTTCTGTGTATGCTTATTGAATTTGCTTGAAAATGGGTTGCAGGGGAAATGATGCTTGTTGTGAAACAAATATTTTTACCCCAAAGTGAGAGAAATGGCTTAAATGTTGAAAAACTTGTTTTGACCTAAATGAAAGTATGGAATTTTTTTTTTGTTAGAAACAGCAGCTCATGTCAAAATTGGCTGAGTTGAAAAAAATCAAAGGATGTTAATAATGAAAATGAAAAGAACAGCTTTTACTTTGATGCAAAATGGATTATTTGGAAGGGTTCTCTTGTTTGTTTTTTTTTCTTTGTTTGAAAAGAATAATTGTCTTTGACTGAACCAATAGTCCCTTTCTTTCTCCCTTCCTCTCACTTTTGAGAACTGACCATTGAAGTGAAATGTTACATGATTTTCCAAAAGAACCATGAGGCTGTCTCTACCCTGGAAATGTAATAAATGATGTCTCTATATATTTGGGGGTTTCTTGCTTGAGCTCTATAGCTCTCTGGTTATTTTTCTGCAGTGCCTTGGCCTAGACCAGCATCCAACCCATATTCTGATGACAGGAATGCAGTAGATTGAAGAACACTTTGTCACCAGCAGAGATCAGCCACTCACTGTCCCCTTCTGGGCAGGGCTTCCTCATCTGGGCACTCTTCCCTTGCTCTGCACTACTGGAGGATACTGCAAGTTGCTTCTGGATCAAAAGTAGTTTTGATTGGCAGCTTTCTGTGAAGACAAATTGTTAACAGTGAGTAAAAATTGTGACCTGCAAGCAATTTAGTCTAAGCAATGCCTAATTGTCTGGGGTGAGTCATTAGAGCCAACTATTCCATTTTACAGTGTTCTCTCACCCACCATCGAGAGGGAAGTAGGAGGACACTTGATGACCAAAGAGCTATCAGCCTAATTATACTGTGATGAATTCCTTTCAAATATGTAGAGCATTTAATACATTCTTAAATCAAGCCATCCATAATTAGAAACCTTCCATAACACACACAGGAATCTGAGTCCCAGAAAAGCTGATTAATTGTTAATGAGGTTTCTTCACTTGCTAGACAGGTTGGAAGAGGAAAGGAAGCAAATCTGGAGGCAGAAGCTGGCATTGCTGTGCAGATGCAATGAAACTTTGCTGTTTGCCAGACCAAACTTCTGTTCTGTGGCTTTTTGCTGTCCAAGCCCTGTGGCAGTTTTGCCCAAGCCAGTTTTGTCCACCAGGGAAGTGATTTCTGCTTTTCCCACAATTTCAGACAACAGATGAAATGAAACTTGCCCCAGCCTGATTGATGATTTTGGAAATTGCAGAAAAAGGGTTTTTTCATCACCCTCTGAAATTCATGCTCAGCTGGACAAAACTTGTGATGGTTTTTAAAATGTTCATACACATCACCCATTTACTTTGTAAATGTGATGTTTTCAGCAAATGTCCAGCGTGTTCTGCCCACAAAAGGATCTGATGACTCTGGCACCAGAACATGGAGAATAGTCTGTCTCAGGTGTTTATACATGGGGAGTGCACACAAACGGGAATGTGTTTTTTTCAGAAAAGGAAGCTGGAAGTGGGCCCGTGGATGCTCAATTTACTGCACCATTTTGCTTACTGCATATTTTGCCTTTCCCCCAACTATTTTCCCTTTTATTTTTCTCAAAAGAAACAAACTCTAAATGGCTCCACTCATTCTGACCATAGAAATGTCAAAATACTCTTATTATTGTACAGTGGTTTATATGTTGTTGCAATCTCTGATGAGTTTTGTGGCTGTCTTGTCACTGGATTCATAGGAAATGAAGCTCAGACCTTGGAAATTGTAGACAGTTCTACTAAAATATATATATTTTCTCCCTCTAAAAGTGTTATGAGTTCCAGGCTTGATATCTGAACATTTCCCAAAGCAAGAACAAAATGCTTTGTTCCCTGTTTTTGTTCCTGGAGTGTATTTTTGTGGCAGAGAATATATGTTTGGAGCACAACATTTGAGAAGGGCGCCTGAAATGAGTCTTTATATCTTGAGTATTATTTGGAAAATAAACTTGGAAGAGGGAACAGGCTTTAAAAACCATTTCCTAATATGTTGTTTATGTTCAGCTGTCTGAGTTCCAAGATATCTAAATGAATGAAAGTCAGAGACCTAGTCAGAGTTTATTAAAAAAACAGTGAAAATATACACTTGAACTTTTACTTCTGGGGAAGGTTCTTGCTAATTCTGCATTTCTAATTATTTATTAGATGAATGAAAACTGCACATCAGGAGATAATGAAAAGGAAATGTTTATTGTTCCCAAATTGAATGTGTTGCAGCAAAATGGAATTCATGGCATGTCTGTTCAAACAGCATCAATAATGCTGAGCAAAGCTACTCTAACATGGTGAGATGCCTCCTGCAATTTAATTGTGGGGAGCTGTTACTGAAACTGGAGACATATGTTTATTAATATTGCATTTTTTCATTTTTTAATTGTTTCTTCTTGCGTGAAAGATGGAAGATGATGCGCACATTGCAGTGATGCTTGACCCAAAGTTGAGGATGCCCACAAAGCTCTATCCTGTTTGCTCTTGGTCCTTCAGGCAGCTGGAAGCTTTCTATAGCTGTGAGTAAAGGCAGCCTCACAATCACACCACACACAGTCTCTGTGTGAAGCTTCTCCCAAAATAAAGCTTGACATTCTTTTTTTTTTTTTTTTTTTTTTCTGGGGAAAGGGCAGGAAGACAAGTTGTACAAGGAGTGCATAACTGGGTTTTCTGCTTTGGAGAAAAGGAGGCTGAGGTTCAGTCTCATGCTTTGCAGGTTCCTGAGGTGGGGAATGGGACAGGGAGGTGCTGAGTTCTCCTCCCTGTTATCCAGAGGCAGGATTAGTTTGAAAGTCTCAGCAGTGCCCCAGAGGAGATTTCAACTGGACTTTAGGCAGCCTTTCTTTACTAAGAGGGTGCTCCAAGACTGGAACACCTTCCTAGAGATGTGGTGGATGCCCCAGTGTTTAAGAGGTATTTGGACAATGCCCCTGGCAAAATGCTTTAACTTTTGGTCAGGTCTACTGTGGTTGGGTGGTTAGACTAGGTGATAGTTGTAGATCCCTTCCAGATGAACTATTCTTACTCTATTTCTGTTCTAAGTAGACCAGAAAATTTTCTTCTGTATTACCCCCAAAAAAGAAATTAAATTAAGTTTTGCTAGGTGAAAGCATGTATATGGGGGTCAACTTTTCTCAAATATATATAATTTTTTATTCAGGAAAGGGCAAAGATTTAAGCGTGATTGGAACATGGCCTGCTAAAACTGCACAAGCTAGTCCCCTTGTTTTTCTTTGCTTCCATTCTTAATCTCAGTTATATCTATTCTTTGGAAACATGATTTTCATTAAAAAAAATCCTATTAAAATACACAGCTTCTAATAAAAAGACTTTTTATGTTTAAAAGGACTTTGTGCTTTCCAGATTTCTATAGCATTTAGCCCAGCAGTTTAAGTTCATCTCTGTTCAGGGCTTGAGCTGCTGTTGAAATGAGAACATTCATAGCATTTTTCCAGTGAGTATTTATGTTATCATCCTAAATTGTTACAGAGGAGGTATAAACGATGTCTTCTGATAAAATACTTAGATTGCCCTTTGTTATGTATATTTAATCAAGGCAGTACCAAGAAGGCTCAGTGTTTGCAGAAGAGTTATTTCAGCCTTATCAGAAACATGCACAAGTGGCACACAATAGATGAGGAATTCACCATAAAATGAACAAAACCAAGCTCTACAGTGCACAACTCCCATGAACAGCTCTGCCATGGGGGCTGGATGCTGCCTGACTCTGAGCTCTGGGTTCTGTTGCACCAATCGCACTTTGAGAGGTTCCTGGGCATTTTACAGCACGAGTAAGAGCAGCTCCTGTGGGATGATAAAGGAATTACAGAATCACAAGGACTGCTGGATGCTGGAAAACTAAAACTGCAGTTCATCTTTACCTGTGCTGGTTTTGTAGCACAGAGTTGCACACTTAGCTGGGTTCCTGTGGATCTGGAGGGCTCTTTCCCTGCGCAGCTATTGCAGCAGCCCAGCTAAGAGCAGGATTTAATAGGAGAGAAACTTCATGAGTCCAAACTTATTTTAAATTATTCTGCTTTGATTCTCAACTTCCTTTTTTTGGGAGGAGTAAAAGAATCACTTGGAAGCTTTTCCAACAGCCGGAAAAATAATTCTGCATTTTTTTTTATCCTTTGATAAAAATACTTTTCATAAAACACAGCAATAAGATGCTTTCAGAAGTGTAGCTTGAAGCAATGAATCATTTCCTTTTTAAAGACATAAGAAGAATCCAGAGTAGATGTTCATAACATTAAAATACTTATTGCAGTCATAAGGACTGTCAGCAAAAGGGTTCGAATTATGCCTTGAGCTTTTGGTATTTTGTGCCTGCAAAGAGTCAAAGACAGCATATTATTTTGTGCAACTGTCTCTGACATTTGGCTTAGGGAAGAAATGGACTAAAGCAATCCCTAGGGTGATTTTATCACCTCCCTGAGGTATAAATTTGCTGGAATGTTTTTGTTCCTTACTGTTAGTGGATTTTTTTTTTTAAGAGGGGAGAATTCCATGATTAAATAACTGTTCTGCTATTTTTTTTTTTTGAGCTGTGCAAGGTATGTATCTTCTACTATGAAAGAAAGAAGGAATTCAACACACATGGTCTGGATGGAGGCAACCAGCAAGGAGAGGAACCTATTTAGTTTTTTGTTAATTCAGCAGCATTTTTTTTTATGTGTTTTTCCAAAAAAAACATTCTCTGTACTTCTCATGCAAATAGGAGCTTATTAGTAGTGTTTATCCTGCTTAAGAGCAGCAATTTTTCAATCTATGGGTTCTGTAGGGATCCCTTATCCCACCAGCAACAGCAACTGAGTACCTAATTCTGACCCCTAAAAATGCAAAATAATTGAGATGACTGGAAATAGAAAAGACGTTTGGGACTTCAGGGAAAGGACAATTTAGGGATGACATCTGCAGCCAGAAGGGGAAAACCAAAGTGCAAATTGCAAGTGGTTTAGGAAACAAGCTCAATGACAAAGCATCTTTGGGGAAATAAAGTTTGGGAACCCTTGAAAAAAAGAGGAATGTCAATTAAAGTTAGGGAGAAATTAATTGAATGAATGTGCGAGGAAGAGAGAAACATCAAGATTTACTTGAGTACCTGAAGCACAGCCCAGATCAATTACTTGCTGCTGTCAGCATCATCAGTGCAATGTAAGAAAGATTGAATGTACGCTATAAAATGCACCGTTTAACAAAGTTCAAGCTATTAAGTAATTATAATATAATATGTGAACATGCTGAATATGCTTATTTAAATGTAAATGTTTATTCACTGTTTATTTTTAGTGCAGAAAAATCACACAGCTTGTTTAGTTGCCCTTGCTGTTTCATACACTGCTGATCTATTGGATGCCTCTAAGCCAACATCCAGAGGCAGCTGCTCCTTTATCAATGGCATCCAGGGACTCCTCTTGAAAGGTCCAAAGTAACCTGCAAAGGAAACAAATTCAAGGTGGATAATAAATATACTGTGCTCCAATGGGCTGAGGGAACAGCAATATTATATTTCTACAGAGAGATCACTGATCTGGCCATTTGTCAGTGATGTTAAAGGGCAGAGCCTGAATGCAGAGTCATGAAATAAGGTTTGGGTTTGGAAAGGACCTTAAAGATCACATAGTTCCAACTTCCTGCCATGGACGCCTTTCACTAGACCATATTGCTCAGAGTTC